CCTGACTAGTATCTCTCTCCCTGATACCTCTGCCCCTGACTGGTACCTCTGCCCCTGACTGGTAGCTCTCTCCGATACCTCTGTCCCTGACTGGTACCTTTGTTCCTGACTAGTATCTCTCTCCCTGATACCTCTGCCCCTGACTAGTATCTTTCTCCCTGATACCCGTGTCCCTGACTGGTACCTCTCCCTTCCAGACTGGTACCTCTCTCTTCCTGACTGGTACCTCTCTCTTGCTGACTGGTACCCCTGCCTCTCACTGGTACCTCTGTCCCTGTTCAGGACTGAATTAGGTGACCAGTTCATACATTAATAATAGATGTGAGTATGATTTATAATAACACAGGATAAGGACATCTTCCCTTCCATGCGATGGAGGAAAAAAATGAAATGACCGGACACGTGTCCGTTTACATCAGATTACCTCCATTCCAGCACAGTCAGGTCCATCGACACAGAACGCTGATCTATTTGTTTTTCTGGACCCGCCCAGGGATAACCGGATGTAAACATACCCACGTCCATTTAGATCCAGCTGTCCATACACCAGTATCCACCTTCCGCTCAGGTCTGCCTGTAGGGTAAATCCGGGTTTACATCTACTGTAATGTTTTGAAAACTGACAATTATATTTCAGGCTGCAGCTGCTGAAAATTCTAATTTCGACCCGAAGTGCTCGTCCACACTACACTGGGATCAAAAATGTACACTTATTTTAATGGGAAAACATACCTTTGAATGCATTATGACCCCTTGATGATGTATTCGTCCTCCCACTCAATAGCTGCTCCCCATCATTTTCTGTGGCATGACATTAATAAACATATGTTGTTAAATCTCCTATTCCCCCGCTGACACATAGTGAGAATGGGGGGACAGTTGAAGGTGACGTGATTTTATTTGTTCTTGCATTTGCTCACTTTGGGAAATAAAGGAAATGAATGGAAATGGAGGCAGAGTGAATGATGCAGCATCATGCTGGAGTGTGAGTGGTCAGCCATGACCTTGTGTTTATAGTATTGTCAAGTGCCAGGTACGGCCAATGAGCATTACTGCATAGGTGACCTCCTGCTCAGTTACCTATCACCCAAATTTCATCAAATGCATCCAGTTTCAGATGGCTTCTCATGAGGTTTGTGGCTAGGACCGCAGCCACTAGTCCATGGTTCTTCCGATCATGCTGCAATATTGTTAAGGCTTCTGTGGCCTGAGAAGGTGGTGCAGGAACCACAGAACACACTGGCATTGGCTCAGATTCAGGCAATAAAGCTGCTGGTGAAACTCAGCTGCTATTTCATGTTCCCCTGTGTCAGTGCACAATACCATTAACAGAAATGGAGCCATGCAGCACACCAGGCCCCAAAACTGGCCACAATGGGGCAAGTTGCAATTGATCAATGCAGATGACCTGCCATCCATCAGCTTAATCATACCCTACAGACCATGGAGATGTGGGAATTGTGTCCACCTGGGGGGGGGGGGGGTCTTCCCTCTCTTTCAAAG